ATATATATATACACATATATATATATATATGTATGTACCATAGCTTTGTTTGATCATTCTAACACTTTCCCTCATGTTTTAAATGAGTTTAAATGTTAGTCAGTTCTGACGATGTATCTGAAAATTATGACGCTGTTTCACATTATACAGCCCTACACACTCCTATTACACACACACAAACCTACACACACACACACACAGACAGATAGATCACTTCTTTTGTTTAAAGAGAGATTTGCATAGAGTTATAAATGTATATCACTTAAAAAATATTCTCAGCAGCAACAGTGAATGCTGACAGATGATTTTTGCCAAAATGAAGTTTTCTAATGGCACAGATCCACAGATAGGTCGACAGTAATCAGAGATCTATCTATCTCGTGCACGCACACAAACACACACACACACACACACACACACACACACACACACACACACACACACACACACACACACACCAACATAAACACACATGCATGTACACACCACAAATAATATGGCAGCCCCAGTTTGTTAACATGAGGAGTTGTACAGCTCCTAAAATTATACCTACTTTATGTTCATATTTACATATGTATACATCTTTTAAATATAGATAGAAATATCTAAGACAATAGTCCACTGGGTTACAGTAAGAATGAGCACCATTATAGGAACACTGGCAAGTTTCTCGCTGCTTAGCATTGGTGGTGAGCCGACTTGGGCTATGCTGGGCTGGGTTGGGCCAGACTGGGTCAGCTGCTCAGTAATACCGAAGAGTCCATCTTTGGCCATAGTACTTCTATTCTCCAGACCTGAAAACCAAAGGAGATTATACTGTCAGTGGTTTATGATGAAACAGACATTTATTAAAAGAAAAAAAAAGGATAGTTCTGCTACACGTCAAGCTCCACAACTTGATAAGATCTCACCTCAGCTAGCCCGTCTGCCATTGTTGCTCTCAGCTGCCTCAAACTCCAAATCTTGGAGCTCCATGGACTCTACTTTGACTCCCCTGGTCCCTGTGTGGGTGTAGAGAGGCACATGTGGGTCCTGGAAGGCAGGCTCTGGCCCCTCTGTCCCTGATGGGCAGTAACTGTCTGCTGCAGTGTATCCTGGGTAAGTGGAAGCAGGGCTCTGGCTGGACAAGGGGGGTGGGTGAACGGCGACGGTGACTGAGGCCGATGCTGTCACCGTGGTGATGGGTTGGCCATATGGAGTAGGGTTGAGGTGTTGGTGCGGGAGGTGATGACTAGGTTGTGGGTTGTGGGAAGAGCGGCTTCTGTGGCCTGCTGAGTGTTCTCTATGGCTATGCGAGCCATAATGGCCCCCAGCCTCAGTAGCAGTTTCAAAAGCGTCCATGCGCGGCAGGGCTGGGGGCGGGCCCTGCCAGTGCACCTGGCTCTTGGGGTCCCTGCTGCTGTTTGGAGTAGTTCCATTCTGCGTCCCAGGATCACAACCCTGAGAGAAGACAAAATATAGAACAACAACAACAACAAAATTATCTTTCCATTTCATAATGTGACAAGCAAGAGAAAATATGCAATCAAAAGAGTCATGCAGGAGACACAATATGACACATTTCTCTTACCGAGGACACAGTATAGGCTGGAGGGTCAGGCTGTCTAGCTGAGCGCCGATGTCCTGATGCTCCCCTCCTCATCTCCTCTGTCCTGGCTCTTCCCCTGCTGATCTGGAGGTGGTACTGCTGCTCGTCTGCTCGAGCTTGTCCTCTGTGTGAGTGCAGGTTAGAATTTTGCAGCTCCTGGCTGATACCAGATGCTGTGGTGTTTGAGCTGTACTCTGAGTCTGATGAGTCTGAAACTGCACCAGAGGTGGTGGTGGCTGCAGTGGTGTGGTGAGGACGGACTGAGAAGTGGACCACATGAGGAGGAGCCTCTGGAGATGGAGTTGGTAACCGGCTGCGACCATCAACTGGTGATACCTGAGTGTTGAGTAGAGAGAGTTGTCTATAGTTTGGCTTTTGAATTTTAAAAAAAAGTCACCAGTCCTGGTTGATTTAGATTTTCTTGCGTTTGCATTTTGTAAGATCTTACCTCTGGATAAGGTCCAAAGTATGATAGTAATACTGGGAGCAGGACTAATCCATTCAGTACCCCAAGAACTGTTAGGATGGCTAACACTGCAAAGAAGTACCTGTATTACAAAGAAAGAGTTCACAAAGGGAAATTAACTTTAATATCAGCTATAAACACAATGAGCAAAAAATGCATGTAAAACACAACACTTTCCTGTGGCTTCTGCGTCACACAACACAATAACATTTATTAAAAATAAAAGATTTAAGCAAAGTCACTCATACCAACAAGGACACACAAGAAGTGAAATGAAGCAAGCTGAAGAAACAAAGAAAATACCTGCGCAAAACCACAGAGGTTTAGACGTGGGGAGACATGTGCAAGATCAACCATTACACATGCCCAAAATAATACTTTCACAAAGACACTCGCCACTCCCAAAACATACACACACACACACACACACACATATATATAAACCCCCCACAGACAGGCTGGCATGCACTGCAGTCTTGAGGAGCAAAACATAAATGTACCTTGTGCGTTTCTAAGTCCTGCCAAAGAGGGTTAGTCTTAAAGAAGCCGCGTAGAGAAAAGAAAGGGGAAACATAATTAGCCAGAGCTGGTTAATTCAAAGGCACGGGGGGAAAGGAAAAAAGACAGGGGGTGGGAGTGGGGGGTTATTGGGGGGTGAGGGTACTCTCTTGGGTGTGTGTGGTGTATAAGCAAACAAGGAGAAAACAAAGCAGTGAGGAATGTGAAGGGGGAGTGGTAAAGGAGAGCAAAAGTGGGGAGGGTGACATTGGGGCATGGGGGGTGGGGGGTACAAGAGGACAGGGGCCTCTCTCTCTCTCTCTCTAGCTCTCCAAAAAAAAAAAGAAAAAGAAAAGCGAGAAGCAAACAAATGAAGTGAAGGGTATAGAATTTAAACAATTTAGTCTAGGAAGAAGAGAAGGGGACCCTCAGCGCCACCCCTCCCTGGCCTCTCTCACTCTCCTTTCTTTCTCTCTCTCTTCCTCGCTTTTTTCTCTCCCTTCCTTCCAGCTAAGCCCCTGTGAAATTCCCGGCCACTCCACAAGCCACTCCATCTAATTAAATCTCCAATGTATCAGGTAAGACTCCCCAATCTCCACTCTAAATCTCACTCTCTCACTAACCCTGCTTCCTTCATTATGGAAGCCCACCCCATACCCCGCACAGCCACCCATTGGTTTTCCACTGGAAGCTCTCAGGTATTCAGGGACACGCCATGAAGGCTTTTTCTTGACTCTTGACTATGTTCTTTGTTTGTGTGTGCACGGGTGGGTGTAAATAGGAGCTAACAAAGGTGTAGATGTGTCATGCAGCTGGGCCTCAGATTAAGTGCACATTCATAACTAATCCTTCAGTTGTGTTTTATTGATGTGTGCGTGTAGAGAATGAAGGGACACTGTGGAAAGGACTATCCACAAGTACGGAGCAAGGGTCCCTGTCTACACAGCAGGGGTGGCCTTTCATGCACAGTTCTAGAAAACTGAATTACAGTGAAACAGTCTCACCCTTTCAATTTGGTTTACTTGGAAAGTAACAGACATGCTAAGATCGAGTAAAAAAAACCAACAACCCAAAAACCAATGCAAAGCTACCCAAAAGATGGATGAAGTGACTTGTAGAAATTCTGATACTGCAATGATGAGGCAGTGAGGCACAATCTATAGACAAGGGGCAAGAGCATCTGGCTTATTTTTGTAGTTAACTTGAAATACAAGTTCTGTTAACCAATTGCAGCGAGTCAGGATTTAGTTGCATAGAGATAAATAGTCTATGCAGGGAGCAAAAGAAGGACTGCATTTCCTAAATCGGATAATGATCAACTACGGTCCTAGGATGATTTTATTTTTAATATAGCTACCTAGAGCTAAAATAACAGTTTCATAATTATGGTTTGCATTTCCATACAAAGCATCAGGAGTAAAAGCCACGTCACCTTTGAAGAAACATGTGCACACATATGTACGTGTGCACGCGTGCAGCCCACATACCAGGTTGCATGCCCCCGCCAGGCTGTTTAGAGTGAAAACATTCACAGGGCTGATGGGGAAAGTCAGGGAAGCATTTCTTTCGGCGCAAGCAGAAAAATATGAGCTGGGCCTGTTGTTATTGCACCGTCTTGGGGCGCTGCTTTGTTTGCTCAGACAACAGCAGAACCTTTAAATGGAGGCCCGAGACTGAGCCAGAAACCAGAGCACACCACTGGAGGTGCGGAGAGAAGGTCTATAGGCCTCTATAGTTTGTGTGCGTATGTTTGTATGTGTCTCTCTGAGTGTGTATCTGTGTGTTCTCTCACTAGCAGGCGCACCATCATTGACCCCCATGATTAAAGGGTCAGGGAGCAGGTTGGTGTGTCTATACGAGGGGGGAACTGTGTAACTGTGCGGGCGTGCACAGATGAACGCTTGCAGATCACATGGAGTTCAGTGATTCTAGCTCTCAAAGAAGCAGGCCAAATCATACAGCTACCTCATCTGGCAGCAACCAAGAATGTGTGTACATATGGCCATGTAAAGACATAAGGTTGTTTAAATTACACACTAAAGTCTGGGGAAACTTCTCATAATACTGTAGGAGTTGAGAACATACAGAATCATTCATACTCCTCCCTTGAACGGCAGCTGGTCGCTACCTCTCTGTCTGACGCTTAAGAAGGTGCAAACACAAAAGCAGCCACCTGCACGGAGCTCCGGCAGTGTGTCGGTTTTAATTTCCACTTCTCCTGTCTTTGTACAACTGCTCTCTTGCCCCCCCCACTCTGTTACTCCTTTCCCTGCTTATAAATGTCTAGTGAGGGCAGTTAAACCAGTTGAGGGAGATTACAAAAGCCAGAGGTCTTTCCTGCTCTCCCTCACTCACTCACTCTCTTTCACTTTGCTCCCCTCTGTCACCTCCCTTACAGCCTACTCCCCCCACCTATTTTTCACCTTTAATTTTCAACCCTTTCCCTGGTTTCCCATAAAATGTCGGGCACGACAGATATTAGGAGGAGGAAGAGGTAGATAAAAGAAAAGGCAAAAAAGGAAAGAGATTTTTGGTGAGGTTTCCTGGAGATCATCCCCCAGAAAGAGATGAAAAATATAAATAATAATAGTAAATAATAATAAATAATTGCTAGTGGTAGTGAAAATTGGATGAGATTTAAAGAAGAGAAGCAAAAGAAGAAGAGAGTAGCTGTCATGCATGATCGGGGTCTGAGGTGGATTCCTGTGTGGTATACAGGTATATATGATAACCTCTGTATGTGCATATATGCATGGTTTCAAGTTCAAATTAAAGCAGTAGTTTCTTGTGAGTTTGATTTTGTAACTGACCTGACAATAAAGTCAAACTCAGAGCCTGCGAGCATCAGGACGCCTAAAAACGTGGAAAAGGCGCCGTCGAGCACCGGCGCAAACATGTGCTCGAGTGCCAGCACTGCCCGCTTGTGACGATCCCCTATGGCTGTCAGGAATGCCTACAACACACAGAAAAAACAAAAAACAATTTATGTCTTGTTCTCAAAAGGTTAACTTGCTCCACAACCATCAGAGAGACCTGAATCCATCCAGCAATAGACCTCACCATTCCAGCAAGCAGCCTTTAGGATTAGAAAGTAAGTAAATTCACTAATTCATTTTTAAACTTACCAGGGCCACATGGACAGTAAATTCCACTCCAATGCCCACAGAGGCGATGAGAATGACAACAGGGACGGCACTCAGCTTAATTCCCATCAGCCCCATGAAGCCAAACAGCTCCACAGTCATGAGAGAAAGCACCAACACCTGAAGAAAAAGCAGGAGTTTCTGTGAGAAATGTGGGTAGTTGTTCAATTTACATGAACCTTTAGTTACACTTGTGTGGTTAATAAACTCACAGTTCGAAAACATTTTTACACATAGAAAGTGCCAGTTGTTACAAAAAGCCTGCACGATTCAGTGTTTGCAACCGTTTTATTTGATTCAATATCCATTCAAATGGTTTCTGTAGGTTTTTCAGGAGACATCGCCTTTTTCTCTTCGATGTTTGACTTTGACTTTTGATTCAGAATTATAATGCACATTTGCTAGGTGAAACAGGTAAAACTTGTCCGTGAGCACAGTGGGTTTAATTACCACAAATGGAGTTATTCTACTTTATGCTGTCTTATTATAGAAAGAACAAATCATTATTCCCTGCTTTAACTGTGTGAACTTCCATTTGACCTTAAATTTGACTGCATAAAAGACAGATGAGGCAGAGAAATAACACACGAGGGTGATATGTATGAGTATATCTGCCTTATAAATGTGTTGAGCAGTAACCATACATGTGGGTGAAATGTATGTGTTTGTGGAGACTCCGGAGCAAAGCATTACAGGAGCTGCTATTATCAGCTGACAGGTGTCAGGTTACACGGGGCCCAAATCCTTTGAAGAGGGTTAAGGTGGGTAGAGGAGGTAACTATGTGTACGTACACCTATAGGTGACCCAGCACAGAGTATGTGCATATCCACAAAGGGTATTAGTACTGTGTGGTGTGTCTGCCACTTTATTCTGAAGGGCATTTTGGGTGATCTAATTACAAGTGTGCAGATACTGTATATTAAAATAAAATAGTTTGAGGAAAAGATGTCACTAGATTTAACACATTTTCTTGTGTTATATTACATTGTGTTATATTATATTGTGTTATTACATTTACTATTACTAAAAGGTAAAACCTTGTATACACCTGCCTTTTTGTTTCGTTTAAGCAACGTTTTTTCTATAAATAATATAAAACATAAATCAGGAACACAGATTGAGATTACAAAGGATTGCTCTAAATGTACTGAGACCCATTCAGATTTTAAGTGTTAAGAGGAATCAAAATCAAGTGGATTAAAAACTAACTGTATAAATCTAAACACAAGATATGATATTTACACAAAGCCTCTGTCTACATGGTCATAGTGGATTTCAGGGCTTGAAGGCTTTGAGAGTTTGATGTTGTATGGCTGCCTGTGCTTTGGGCTTTGATAGAACTCTCTTATAACTGATGTTTTGATCTTACTAGTAAGGCCTGAAGAGGATGAACATGAAGTCCCCTCCTCCCTTGTTTCAAGGTTCGGGTGGCCTGGCCACTGCCGGTTGTAAAATACAACCCACTAGAGAGAAAAACCAGAGTACTCTTTGTACGTGTTTCCGTGTGAATTATCACCTGCGAGTTTAAACATTCATACTGTATGTGTGTGCAAGTATGTACATGCACTAGAGTGCTCAAAGTGTTTTTGAGAACTGGCTTGTGTATGCGAACGCATGTTTGCCAATATCCTTGGAAACGTCTCGTCTGAGAGGAGCAAGAGTGGATGAATGTTAGAGATGGAAATAAAATCAAACATTTTACAGGTTTAGAGTGGGAGCCAGTTGCTGGGGCAACTTTTTGTCCTCTTCCCATTTATTTCAGAATTTGTGTCTGGGAGTATTGGACTAGACTAAACAGACTGGTCCTAACAAAACAGCACAAGATAAACACTGGTGACTGGGGCTACGATAACAAGCACCGGCCCCTTCTCTTTTCCGACTCTCTCCTCCTGACATGCATTCTGGACCACACGCAAAAACCAGGAAATGACATGAAGAGAGGGAAGAAATTGACTTTTAAATAATTGAAAGCTAAGATCTCTCTCTCTATGTCAAGCAGCCAAAAACCTTTTTAGAAGTAGCAGACACATTTGTATCTTTCTCTAAAGTTATCTCTCAGAACATTTGCTGCAATCTATGGAGCTACGTGTGTTTCTCTGGGCATTGTCATACCACATATTTGTAGTTACTGCATTTGTCTCTGTGCATGTGGTGTGTTTTCTCCAACACTTACTATAATGCCAGCGGTCCAAGGGTTGAGCAGAAAAAGGGCACAGACGAGAAAGGTGCAGGCGAGCACCACACTGATGGACAGCAGAAGCCAGTGGCGTAGACTAACATACTGTTCCCAGAACAGGAAAGGGTAGCCGTTGGGGTAGGAGGGCAAGCCTTGTCGGCTGTAGTTGCTGCAGATGGCCCGTACGCTCTCGATGGCTTCCACAAACTGCGGCGTCTCCCGGAGCCCGTTGAGGTAGAAGGGGAACTGTGCGTATTCGATGGGCTCAGCAGCCGGGACTGGATGGTGAGAAAATCAGAGAAGGTTGGTTTAATTGTTAGCAAAGCTGTACCCCCCCGACTTCGATTTTTCATTATATGACATATGCCATGAAGCAACTGGTGAAGTATTCTCTTTGGGGCCTTGGAAGCAAAGACCACACAGATGATAACGTTTCAAGACTGTAGACATCGACGAAGCAATCGGATAAATCAACAGTGGCCTCTGCAGATCACATTTGTCTATTTTGATTAATTCTCATTATATTCTGATCATTTCATGTATCTGCAGAAATAATTGAGACTCTATATCCAAACCACGAATACCAAGGCTTTCCCTCCCTAATGCAGCTCTGTTCCAAGAGAAGCTACGTTTGCAGACGTATGTGCATGTGTGCGTATGTGCATGTGTGCGTGTGTGTGTGTGTGTGTTCTGTGGGGGTGGCGGAGGAGAGTGAAACAGACCTCCATTGACTCAGTTCTGGCCAGCCTGTGGCCCAGCCTGGCTAATGAAGGCCTATCAGTTCCAGACACAGCAGACTGTCAGAGCTAACGATGATTCAAGGTAATTACAATGTCAGAATCACTGCCATTACCACACCCTAATCTTAGCACCACCACGTAAGGCACAATATAAATGTGTGATCACGTAAATATCTGCCTGTCACGATGCTATGGAGGCATAGTAGGGGTTTACAAAAGATTTAGAAGTTGCTACACTTAGAAGTAGCTTTGCAGTATCACTACTAAAGACCAGACTACTAGACCAGTCTACTGCCTATTTTTTATCTTATAGAACATGTTGTAGTATTGTCTAATGTTGCTTTGAATGTATTCATTTCATAGTAAGTGTAGGGTTAGATGGAAGAGCTTGCTAACATGGTATGGCCCATTATAGTCTCAACTATAAATTTCAATTAGAACACCTGTGGCTTTTGGCAAACATAGATCTGCTCCGGGGGTCTCCCGCACAGCCAAACACTTCATGCAGCTTATCCAGTCACGTCCCCCCGCTGTCAAGGACTTCCTGCTTGTTATCCAATTGTGCTTCCAACCCAAACCCTGTCTCTCTCTCTTAATTATCCAATCATCCCCCTTCCTTGTCCTGTAACACCTTCTTACACCAAATCACAGGCTAGAGTCAAATAACAATGTAAGTATATTTTTTATGTGTGTGTGTGTGTGTGTGGTAGGGAAACGAGAACAGGGTGGGTGCTGTTTTTGGGGTCGCTGAGTTTTAATAATGTGTGTATTTGTGTGTAATGCTTGAGCACCATGGTAGTCAGGATTATAGCATTTACCACAGGCACTATTAAAAGAATAACAGCAAGTTGTGTCTTGGTCCTCGGGTTAGCAGAGTGAGCTCAGTCATGCACAAATGCACACATATTGCAGTGGTACAGTAAAGTCTAATACCTCACTTAGAGCTAAAAAGGACCAATAACTCAAACCACAAGATGTGAACGTTGCTTACATGCAGCCGCTGCCTTATGGAAACTGAAAAAGTTGCAGCCGAGACTCATAAACCTCACAAAAGTTAGGCATAAAATTTCAGTAAGCAGATAATAAATGCAGTATGTTTGGCCGTACCTTACAGTAACATTTCAAATTAATGTGGAGCTGGATTACCGAACTTGTTGGAACTAAAAGCAATATTATTTCAAATTTCTTCCATTCTGTCGCACTACTCAGTATTCAGTGGTAAAATAATGTGAACATAGGGCATGCAGACTTACTGCTGAGGCGTGTCTCGGGCATGGAGTCGGTAGGGTCGTGGAGCCACTCGGGAGGGTGTGGACGAATGTTAGCTTGTGAGGCAGCATAGGCCACAGGATCATTGCTGACCCAAGCTGTTAGGTAGATGTAAAAAGCTCCGGGATTGATGATCCCATCTGCATCCACAAGCCTCTGGCGAGTCAGCTACAAAACCCACAAACGAGATGAATTAATGACTGTAATATTAGACTTACAGGTTTTGGTATAGCCTCTTAAATTACAATTTTCAAACACATAATTCATCGAATGCATTATGTCATTCGTCTGTCTACTACACCCAAGCAAACCATCAAAATTTGAACTGAAATGGAATTATTAGAAAATGGAAAAAATTTAATTGAGGGGGGAAAAAAAGTAGAAAAAAATTGAAGTGCTTGCGGCTGTTAAGTACACGCTGGAAATGAAGGTATTGTAGAAATAAGGGATGTTTAACCATAACATTCTACAGGTGAGCTGACCACAGAAATGTTTATTTATACACACGCATGAGCGCAAGAGAACGGAGCAGCTTTCAAAATATGAGTCAAATATTAGCCCCTCTCTCTTTCCAACCAAAGAAAAACCAACAAGTCAGACACTGGTTGCCTTTCTGAACATTCCCGTACTTGTGATCACAGCTTCCCAGAATTATCATGCCACATTAAAACATGGAAAATGTTGAATCAGCTTCTCCCTTTACATATAGTAGATATTGGCTGGCCAACCTCAGACCCAACGTCCTGACCACTCTGAATAAATTTCTAAAGGAAGCCTTGCAACACTCTCCTGTCAAGAAGTAGCTGTTGCTGCTGCCTGTAGAACCAAGCAATCTGAGCAAGGAAGCTTTAAACAGGCATTCTGGTTATTTTAGAGCTGTGCAGGTTGTGTTTCGAGTTTCTGGAGTTGGGCACTCTCAGGTGAACAAAAACATAAAAGTATTTTTCTTTCTAATTGGTCTTGTTAGGAGAATAAGTGCAATGAATGCATTATTGACTTTGGTAAGGTGGTCCACCACTTTGGTCCAGGCTAAATATCTCAGAAACATAGTCAAGGCTCATTCATTCAAATACTGAATCTGTGTGACTTTATGAGCTACTGGATCATCCATCCATCCATGGGGGAAGGAAGCAGGTAGTGTGGGAGTAGCCGGAGGACATAAAAATACAAAGATTGACGTTCCCCTCAGTAGAATTTGAATAATACGTTTATGTTTTATACAGCGCTATTATCAGGTTCGAATTGCAATTTTCTCATATTTTATTACCACAATACTGAAAAGCTAATTACCCGTTTGCCTCAGCAACATAGCTATTTAGTTACTGTGTTAACATAAGCATGATATTATATTTTAGCATCCTGGGCTAAACATCATTGCACCATTGTATTGTACCATTTTTGTCTGTGCATGCAGGCGAAAACGGTACAAATAATTACATCACATCAAACTGTCAAAAGGAAATCCAAGCTGAGTGACAACTCAACTTGGATTTCTTTAGGATAAACTCTCTGAGGGACTTTGTTTATCTTTGTGAGCATGTGAGTCTGTGATTCTGCCTTATTGCACTCTTTTATTCAGCGTCATTTGCCTTGACGGCAAAAGTCAGTAGGTAGACGCGAATGACTGTCTCACTAAGGGCTGTTAGTTTTGCCCTCCCATGTGGAAACAGGAGTGTAGTCTAGCATTGCTACCTCCTGAGAGGTAAAACCATTACTGCGCACCACTCTGCCACTCTCCCTTCTAGGAACCATAAATCCCTCTTTCACAGAGGCAGGGAGCGTTCTGGGGGTTGAAGCTGGACTCATGGGGTTAGGTACAAGAAAGGAGTAGTTTTTTTTGTGGTGGGGGGTTGGGAGAGAAAAATTGCTTGAGTTAGCGTAACAATAAAAAAATTGGCTGGAGTCCCTGAGCGCGTCTGTGTGCAGTTAACCTGGTTGTTAACACTGAAGGAAATGCCACCCAGCAAATGGAGTAGAGCTATAAAAATAACACAACATCTGTACAAATGTTCCTCACACTTGGTTCTCCTGACCCCTGTGGGTACCCAGAATGCCTGGCGCCACAGATGGACCTGCCCTAAGAAGAAAAGAGCTCTTGATAATGTTAGCATGGCCTTTCTTAGGACTTATCTCGCACGCCACAGATTTTTTAATTGCGATGCATATAGCTTTAAGCCACACATATAAGGAACAAATGGTCACCAGCACAGAGTAGGGACAAATCAAAAGCAGAACACCTCTGCACAGATCCACAGAGTGGCATATCAAAATAAAACATCTAGCTATGCAATTTACCAGGGATGTTGAAGATCTGGTCCTCATTTTGAGGAACAAAAAGGAAGCTACTGCTCAACAAGTACACGCACACAGAAAAAGGAGAAGCACACATTCAAAACATACAAATGCACACACAGAGCTGTCTAAAAGAAACCACTTGTTTCAAGCTCCCTCAATGAAAGAGGACACAGCAGTGGAGAAAAGGAAGAGAAAGGGAGGGAGGAAAAGACAGAGGGAGTGAGAGGGAGAGAGCGAGTGGTGGTGCGAGTTGGAGTTTGTGAGCAGGAGAGAGAGACAGCTAGATTCCAGTGGATCTGGATCGAATTTAACAGCAGGATACTCAACAACTGTATGTCTTCAAGCTGTCACGGGAAGCCCACGCAGCTCTGCTGGCGGCCCCCACGCCTCACGGCAAGTACACCTCTCTCACAGGCAGAGGAAGTGATGTCACGGGGCCGCACACCAGGACTGGCCCCGTTTCCTGTCAGCTAGATAACTGCTGCAATGGAGTTTATTTGGATAAACGAATAGCCATAAGAGCAAAGGGGAGAGGTGGCCAACCCTTAATAAACATCTGTAGAGCTGTATGATTGGAACACAGAGTTGCACAAATTCTAAATACAAATAAACAGGAGACACAGAAGAGCTATGCGTCAAAGTTAATCACCCTTGATGAAAATGATTTCGGTGTTGAAACGGACATGGCTTGTTTTGTGTTTGAGGTTTGCAGATATTCTGGCCAAGAATTTTGTTTTTATATATCTCCAGTTTCTTATCTTCTGTTTTCGCGTTTTCCTGCCAAAGAATCCAGCCATGCATCCACATATGTTGTTTTTTGGAGGTGATACTAAACTAAGAAAAGCATTCAATGCCCTGTTGAAGCTGAGAACATTTACCCAGCTCCACAAATGCAATCTTTCCCCTCATTTCCTCCTGTTTCTCCCCCAGACTTTCACATTATCAGGTTGGTAAACTTTCCACTGACATACAAGAGACCTGATTTAATCTTCCTCAATAAGTTCCTGTCTCGACCTCCTTCCGAGACCCAAGGTGCTCAAGTCGCTACACTCGAGTCACTGCTGGACATCAAACACTCATTCGGTGGCACGCAGGAGACAGTTTCAACAGCTCAGCTGGAGCTTACCACATGATTCAGATAACATGCTTTGTTGTATACTCACTTTATGGCTAAATTTTGCACTTCAGATTCACCAATGGCTGTGCAAACCTTTCAGAAGCTCATGGAGAACTACTTCAGTACCAGAGATGACGCTAAACAGTCATGTTCTGCACTCAAACCATAAATAATCCCCTTGCAGACTTTCAAGCCACAAAAAGAAGAAGCACCCTTTTCTCCTGCAGATCTTATAAATATATCAGTTGGTTGCATGTTGATGTGGATTATGGAATTAAGTATGTGTAAAAAGGAGACATTTTTACTTTTATGTACAGTGGATATAGGACTAGCATCTCAGACCTAAATAAATGCAACCAAAACCAGAGTCACCCTGGAAGCCTTGTGTCAGCTCATAGGGCTATCCATATAAGCAATAATGACATTAGTTTATCACACTCTTTGTCCTTCAAGGCTTAGAATGCATTAACTGCAACAGACAAGCATTTCTATATCACACCAGTAAACCTCAACTGCTCCACTCAGAAAGTAGTTTGACTAAGTAGACGCTATTGTTTATATTAGAAAAATATGCAAATATGTTTTAAAAATTTAGTTCTCAGTAAATCAGATTCAGGTTTCTACTTAGAGCCACAGAATCCAGATTAATTATTTATAGACACTTTGGAGTTTGCAGGCGTTTCTCTGCACCAGTTTCAGCCATCCCAGCCTCTCATACTGTAAACCGTGGCTGGAAGCACTGATGATGTGTCAAGCTGAAAGACTTGATGTTTAAGGCAAACAGCTCACTGTCAAGGCCCTGCTATACGCACATGTCATACACACACACACACACACACTGACAAATCGTTTAAATGAAGAGTTAATAGGTTTTTCAGAGTCAGGCTGCAGCTCCAGTGAGAGCTTTAAATTCCTGAGCTCGGTAAAGTCATCACACGAACACAGACAGAGAGAAAGAAAGAAAAATATGAATAGTCAGAGATGGTTTTAAGCTGGGTGTGGCTCCCCTAGAGTCATAACAAAATGCACAGATATGCATACACATACAGCGTCACAAAAGAGCTTTGAAAGTGGTGGAAGCATCTCTCAAGTCTATTATCAAGTTGTAGTCCATGTAATACAGTCTGCATGGTCTATGCTTACATAACATCTGCACATACTTCCTCATATAATGCAAATCAAGCTGCTAACCCAACATGTCCACACATCTTTTGAATTGCAGTGTACCATTGACAGTCAAATAGCCAGACAATAGACACTCAGATAGCCAGGATTTCATTCATCAGGAACCAATTCACTCGCAGGCTAGTGCTAACTTCCAGTATTAGAGCTGACAAATGAGAACAGGATTTCTCTAACGCAACAATAAAAGCTTACCGAGGTGTGTTCATCCATCTAAAGCCTTTGTTTCAGATCAAAGCTTTGTTTTCTTTCAACAGTTTGCACCTGGGCATTGACCAGGAAGCTTTTTTCATGATCTCTGTGAATTATTCTCCCCTTTCATCACCACAGCAGCACATTCAATTTACATCTGATGCATTTGATAGACGGATGAGCTTTTATGTGTTGCATTAATGACAACAGGAATCGCTTATCCACTTTTAATAAATTCAATTTAAATCCTAAACGTACCAGGTTGAAGTTGATGGGCTTGTCCCTGCGCCCTGTCTGCACCAAGAGTTTATATGCTAGGACGCCATCATCAGAGCCATTCCTATAATTGTTGTGGGTGATGCGGCCAGCCTCCCAGTCCTTGTCAAAAGCCTGCTGGAGACCTGTAGGAAACCACAGCAAAACACACTGGTTAGATGTGGATGTTTAAAAAGGTTATATGCCTTGTTATCTTCATTCTCCCACTGCAACACACAACAAACAATAACCCAACACAGTAAATAACACAACACCCTAACCTAACCCTAACTCTATAATAGGCTTGATTGATTTAATATGATAATTCAGTTCCATTCTCAACCACTAAACATGACTTCAAAAACAGAAAATCTGCTGCTTTTAATTCAAAGAAATCGTTATGGGGCTTTATCAGTAACATCTGCCTTCTTTTCTATACTACTTTCTGATCCATATGTGTATCACTCCTCTTTTCTCGGCTCTCCCCCAAGGCCCATGCTGTGGTCCGTCTGTGGGAGATGTTGTTTTGGGTCTCGTTCCTTGGCCTGTCTGGCTCCAATTTGTCCCACCATTGCAGAGAGCAATATCAGACACAGTTCTCTCTCTCTCTCACCCACACACACTCCCTGTGTGGTTCCCAGCCGGCTCACACACACACACAGACTCTCACGATGTGTTTTATCGTTAAGTACATTTCCTCACTGAGAATTAAGCCATTCATAGATTGGGCTGACATATGAAAGAAAATACTGTTCACTGGTACTTTGCAATTCTGTATGAAACAATAAATCCATCCATCTCTCCATTCAAAATTAATTTAAAGCGTTGTGTACCGTGTCTTACGTGTCAAATATTCAATTTTTATCTAGAAAAACAAACAAAAACACTAGAGCAGGCAGTACTGGTTCAATACGTGCCAATTTACACTGACAACATATTTGCTGCCAAAGGTTTTTGAATATTGTACATTTCCCAAGATGAAGTTGAAAAATATTGACTCCCACTATACTCTTCGCCATCAATCCCACTTAGGGAAGAAACAAGTGATTTTAATCAGCTACTGTCAGTGTCCATTTGTGCAGTCCCTCCTACTTCTGAACTCCTGCCTAACATCTTGTTTTCTGCGGATTCATGTCAAAACACGGAATAAAATTGTGATCTCAAAATGCTTTCATGGGAAAGTAAATTATTCCCATGCCTAAACTATCCTGAATAGCAAAGTTAAATAAGTTAAATAAGCAAAGGTAAAATTTCAAATGAACTAACACTGGCTCTAAACCATTATGCCACATCTGACCCATTTTATTCTCAACCAGAAGGTGCAGTTTATGCCCATACCTGTCCACACTCATTTCATACCCGAAAATTCGAAAGGAATTTGTGATGTGGACACAAATGATTAGTGTCACTAACTCAGTATCCAACCACATGTGAAATATGACCACAATTTCCCGTTTAGCTCCTGAGTTACAGAATTAAAAATCTGTTAACCTTTGATATTTTTTTCAGCATTTTATCCTATTACTTTAAAATTACTGACTGACACAGTAACCTTGACTTTTAATCGCTGAATTCTGGTCATCCTTGAAACCAGGTGAACTTTCACGCTCATGAGAAGATTATGGAGAGCCCAAAATATGACACCTCCAGTCATTGGTGTGTTCAATGCTGAGCCACAAAAATTTGACATATTCAGTTTTATTCACTGTTTAGGTCGGGTTGAGGTGGCATGTGTACGTCAAGCTTAAAATTACTTAGATTTACCTTGCAGCCAGTCCCTGAAGTAATGAAGCCACATGCGAGGCAGCTGTCCATTTTCCTCCTTCAGCACGTAGCGAATGGTGTGGAACCTCTGGTGGAGCTGATGAAGCAGTGGCTGGTTTTGGGCATAATCGGCGCGCTGTGTTACCACATACATGTTGTAGAAGGAGAAGAACTTGAACTGGGCGCCGAGAAAGTCGTACTCGCTTGTCTCCCTTGGTACAATATCTGTCAGCTCCAGGCCGTCCCTCACTTGGGTGGTCCCGTATAAACTGACTCCCAGCAGGCAGAGGAACAGCACAATCACAACCACCTGGAATCAGAGGGATGAAGAGACAGCTTTATCAAAAAACAAATATCCAATTAAAACATCTGCCTGTTTATAAGCTGTTTATAAGCTGTCGGATGCTTTTTGATACAATGTAGCAAAAGTGCTATACTTTTTCTTTTTTCTGCAAAAAGTAAAGTGCCGGATTAAAGCCTTGCAGGACTACGTGAAGCAATTTATATAAAAAAAAGAAGAAAGAAACTGAGGAACATTTTGTAATGTCAAGTACAGACCACCACATGATTTCAGTTCTGGAAGGCTTTAAAAGGTCTGGCCACCCACTGTGTGTCTGTGTGTGTGTGTATGTGTGTGTCTCAGATAGGACATAACCACAATTTCCACCCCCGATTTCCTCCTTCCTTACACACTCCGGTGACTAACCCTCCCATTCAAATTATCACCACAGTGAGTCAGCACACAAACCCACTTTTACCTCATACAGAAGCTATTCCGCTTGTTTCTTTGTCTCCCTGCTCTACAGAAACACAGAGAGCAACTGAACTCACCTTGGTGGTGGGCTGCAGAAGGAATGGCGCATAGTGCTTCTCAGCAAAAGAGGCCAGGGTCCAGCGCGAGCAGGGGGGCTCGAGGCAGCGTAGGCCCAGCGAGGCTTCTCCAATCTGGGACAACAGGTCCCGTGTAGAGCTGTTGTTCTCTGGACTCTGGCCAGTCGATGAGGCTCCATCACCCTGAGCAACTGAGCTAGCACTTGGGGTCGATGCAGCAGGAGGAGGTGCGGGATGATGATGATGGGAGAAGCTGGCAGAACCTCGAGACCCCCCATTATTCAGGCCCCCACTGTTGTTGTTGTTGCTGATGTTGGCGTGATTGCTGCTACTGTAATACTCGTTGTTACGGTTGGTCCTAGCTGGAGCTGGGTTGATGGGCTGCACAGAGATTTGGGATCTGGGCTCAGCTGTGGTGTAGAAGGCCTGAGTTCGGGGGTCGTACTCAGTCCTGAGCTGCACTGTGGACTGCATAGTGATTTGGGTCTGCTGAGCAAAACCATGGCTACTGTAGGAAGGAGGGGGACTGCTGTAGCTTGGGGGAGGCATGTGATATGAGGGAGGAGGGGTTCGATATGACGGGGAAGGGCTGTAGCGACTCCCTTCTGTCCCATCCAGGTATGCCTGTGGCTCCATCTGAATCACACGATTGGAACAAGGGCTGCAGACATAAATACGATGAAACACTGTCAGGCACTGCTGTGAAACAAAATTTAAAACCAGACTTAACGGAAAAAAAAAACCATTCCAGTACACACGTACAACATCTGATTTTGTGAAACAGTTAAGTGTTGCATTACAAAAAAATATTTATTAGCCCTATGTTATTGTGAATCTTCTCTCCTTTGCCAGCAGCATGAAATATAGGGCCGGGACCCAACCGTGGAATTTAATAGTGTGTGTACACATCTGTACAATAACCGAGCCAACGAGCATGCCCGGGCTGGCAGGCAGACTGGCAAACTTTAATGAAGACTGGAAAAGATAAACATACAGTCAAACAACCAAGCAGTCAGGCGGAAAGAGACAACTTTCGCAGTAATTAGTTTTTAACTGAGGGGGATTACGGTGACGATATCTTTAAAGATAGCTTTGTGCGTACACGGTTCATTATCATGGAAGAGATCTGTGGAAAACATAAAAGGAAGAACGGTAAAGCAATAAGCGTCTCGTCAGATATGAAAGAGCGTCTTTGTGTGTGCACACCTGTAGAAGCAGCAGAAAATGTCAAAACGCCTGTCCTCTCGCCGATAGAGATCCATGCTGAGGATGGCAGGAAAGATGAGCAGCACCATGGCAAAGTTAAACACCACCACCACTGCAGCCTGCAAGAAAAACAGAAAGGTTATTTCAGGTGAAAAAACCCAAACAAAACTGCTTTTTATCAAGAAAAAGGATCAGATTGATTTTTTTTTGTAGTTGCAAACAGTGGGGAAAAAATACAGGTGATCATATGCAGTGTAGACAGTGAAGATGTGAAATGATATGTAAAATTTAATGTAAAATGTAAAAACTTACAAAACTACTTTGAAAGTGTATTAAATGAAAGAATTACTGTTTAACAAAAACAGTGTTGCTCTGAATATAAATCAGAATAACACAAGCTGAATAGGCTCAAGTGAGGGAAAAATTGCCTTTCAACACATTTCCAGTACCTTTCAAGGCAAAAACACTGAGTGTGCAGAGAAAAAGTGAGGCATATGTATGTGTAATAGAAGCCAGTACAATGTTGTGGTTAAGTATTTGAAGGTGGTGCACTAGTGCAGAGGGTGGGGGTTGAGGTTAGGTTGGGGCCCTGCCCAGAGTACAATCTGGATATTGCGTAGTTGCCAGACCACTACACACACACACGCACACACACACAATCCCGTGTGTGTGCCAGACCACCCAAGGAGTCAGAGGCCCGCGGGGCCTGAGGTGATGAGCAGTCGCTGTGGCTGTACAGACAACACACACACACACACACACACCCCTTACAGACTCACACAGAAAAATGCACATAAACACACATATCTGTCACCTTAAAAAACTTACAGCCTCCTACTTAAACCACACCATAACACCAACCAGACACAGGCACACACACATCCTCGCCCTCCCTCATTCCTCAGCTCGCTACTCAGTCAACGAGAGAGATATAATGTCAATGAAGGAGATGTGGAGAAAGAAAAAGCTGTGTAAGTAGAGCAGAACAATTAATTCTCAATTGGCTCACTAACATCCAGACAGATACAGTATGAGTCCACTGACACACACACACACACACACAGTGACCGTGAGCTGACCCCAGAGCGGGGATATTTATCATCACATCTGTTTTCTGCTCATGAATGTGTGTGTTCCTCTGTGTGTGTGTGTGTTTTGCTGCTGTTATCAGGACAAGATTCCTTTTCTTGTGTTTATACTGATAGAAGGAAGTGAATGAGACATAACGCAGGAGCGCGCGCGAAAGAGCGATGAATCCAAGGTGGAGTCGACCATGGGAAGTGTTTAATGCTGATAAAGAGACGCACACATACACGCCAACACAAACTGCAGGCACTGACACAAGGTTGCGGTGTGTGGATGCACTCGATAATAAAAGATGAGTATCACCGTGAATGTCGACTTCGGGAAATTTACCGTCTAGCGGTAACAAAACCACTAGTGTGAAGTATGCATGGTATGCGTATGTGTCTGTGTTGAGCATGCGTCTTTTCCAATGTGCGTGTGTAGAAAACGAAGCTCCATGGATTAGACCCATGGGGTAAATGGATCATGTTTGACAGACTCTCTCTACTAAAGCCATCAATCCACACATGCTAATATTGTACTCAATGTGGCAACATCTTACCTCACACTGTGTGTGCATGCAAGTGTGTGTGAGTCTATGCATGTGCGTGAGGACTAAAGAGCAAGAAACAGGAGGGGGAAATCACTTAATATTTTCATATAGTCAGCGATACATCACTTATGTAACTGCAAATACTTGCAAATGTGTATTACAACAAGTTTTCATAGCTTCCTTATGCAAAATATGTGTTGAAATTCTCAGCTGAATGCTTTTATTGTGTGTGCTTGATTGTGATGGTTCAGTGGTACAGTGGACTGTTCTTCAGGTACTATGGCATGCCAGAGGCAAGTAAGTTAACATAAGTGGTTATTCCTATTCTGTCACAAAAGTATATTTGCGTCTTAATGAGTGCCTTTTTGTCTTAGTGGCGGATTGGCGTCCTGTCTTGGGTGAACTAACCGGCTTTTGTGATCATCCATTTTGGCTTGCTAACCCACATAAGAGTGCCTCTGACTATAAAGATGGTGTCAAGAAAACCTTATGTAAACAATAAAACAGAAACTCTTTTGGGGAAATAAACCGAACAAACCAGATTTTTGACAAAACGGCAAAACCTACACTCACATTAATGGAGGGTCACCCATGTAATTAAAGAAGATTAAGGTGATCATCAGTCCAAAGTGCTGCAGTGACTCAAACTTCAAACCAGAGGTTTTTATCTGACCTCATCCTCTCTTTAGCGCACGTATCGCTATGACTGACTGTTTAAATGAATTAGGAATTCATTGATTATTGGAGGCATTTTGTACTAGTTTTCGCTGTTCTGGTGATGTCTGTAATTACTGACAGATGTTAGAGAAGTCAGAGCTCCCCTCTCGTGTTCCCCCACCTTTGCTCGTCCATTCGCTCACATGCGCACATGCAAACATCTAGGCCATTGCGTTTCAAACCTCCCACACAGATACTACAACTCCCCACACGCACACACGCACATGGATGTGAGGGTATGTGAGTACACAGACGCGCACACACACTCGCAGAGGGATTCAGTTACTAGGACCTCAGCCACAATCTGGACAGACACCGGGCCCACCACTAAACAGCCTCAAAGAAGGAGGAGGGGGGGATTTAACAAAACGCACACTCTTCCTCATGCACACACACAAACGCACACAGACGTACACACTTTCAATGTGATGAATGAAATCAATAAAACAACAGTCTGGAGAAATCTGGAGCCAATGAAGACGGGAACAGGACTATTAGTAAGAGAGAGGCCCCACACGACTGAACTCTCACACACGCACACGCACGCATACAACCCTCACTCACTAGCCACTGTACCTGTAGAGAAAAGGCTCTGAGCGCTGGGATGGGGATGAGCGCTGCCATGAAGAATGCTGTGACATTGCTGATGGAGGTAAGAGCCACACTGGCCCCTGTCCTCTTCAGACACTCCCCCGTGCGATCCTTGTCGAGACAGAAAGAGAAGTTGGTGAGAGGAAAAGCAATGAAACTTCTGATCAGAGTTTAGCCAGAGGCACACGTGTAATACTGGAGATTATGTAACATTATTATCATGATACTGATATGACTGACAGTGATTACGATGTTTCTTGAAGCCCTGAAGTGCTTAAATAATCCACCTGGGCCTGTCTACTTCTGTTTGAAGTAACGGAGGAAAAAGCCAACAGAACAAAACAACGCTTGGTAAAATCACTGCTGCTGAAAACTTGTAATATAATGCGCACAAAGAGAACAGTGATAAACACACAACTCTAGAAGACTTTGGCGGCAACTGTGTGAAGATCTAAAGACGTGCAGGACCACACAGAGAGCGTCTGCAGGCATGCGCATCTTTGTGTGTGTCTGTGTGTGTGTGTGCACATCAGACAGGAGAGATCAGGTTCGGCTCTGTTTAGTTTTCATCTCAGCCACACAATAGAAGCTCGGGGATGAGGGAGGCATAGAGACGAGGGCTTGAACGAGAGGGAGGCAGGGGAAAACAAAAACAAGCAAATACATGCCTGTGTTTTCCCCTCTGGAGATGAAAAGCTACGACAATACACACACACACACACACACACACACAAAGCCAGTTCTTTTTTTAATGCCATTTATTAGATTCTGTACACTTCATCAGCTAATGGATGAGAAAGCTCTTGTTCCTGGTTCAATCCACACTTCAGACCATGCAGAATACTTTAAATGCATCAAATTACACCCTGAACCTTTATTTATTTTTTTTATTAGACCCACTCACAAGTGTGTGTGTGTGTATGTGTATGTGTCTGTGCATATAATCAAAAACCTTATCAATCTGTGTGTAAAGCAGAAACAAGGAAGTCATAATCTAATAGAAACAGACATATCAATCCATTTAAAAATGAACGTCTTTAATTCGGAGCATTGCCTAGATAAGAAGGCTGGGTGTGTGGCACATGGTTTGCTTGATGCTACATCACAGGCACAGACAGGCTTTCACACATTCCTCCGCGGAGTAGATAAAACAAGGGGATGTGCAGGAATGGGTGACGGTGGATGTTTGCCTCACCTCGAATGGGATCCTCTTGTTTTGCCCAGTCTCACTGAAGGCATGGGCGAGGAGAAACACATCATCTACTCCAACTCCCAGAGCCAAAAAGGGAAGCACCTGTAGCACACACACCCACAAACTTAATGAGCTCCTGCATGATTTTACCTCAGAAGTTTGCTATTCTAGGGGTAGCCACAACTACATATTATTATAGATAGATACACACCCATGCAATATTTTTCAAATTCTGGTGCTAAGGTAAATTAAAATGAAGCGTCAAAACCTGTCTCCAGTGTCCAATATTATCTACTACATTATCTTATTTACATTATTCTGCTGGTGTTGACCCACTTCAATTAGGCAATTTAAGAAAATGATTTTAAGTCTAGCAGAGACTTCAACTCAAGTCTACTATCAGCTGCTGTGTTGACCTTTAGTCCATTGGGTCCAGTGGCATGTGTGCGAGTTACCTGCGTAGTGGCAGCATTGAAGGAAATGCCCAGGAGGGAGCAGAGGCCCAAACCAGCTGCCACTGACAACGTCACCAGGAGGACACCTGCCAGCCCCACAGCCCCCTGAGACTTGGCACAGTCCCATCGCAGCATGGTCAGGCATGCATAGGCCAGCTAGGCACAAACAGCAAGCAAACCATTAATCAATCACCCTTTTGTCTGTAAGTCCCTTCTCAGTTTCAAGCAAAGCAGAGAAAAATTGAATAAAATTTTCCTTCCCTCTAGTCTTACCATCAGAAGGTACCCACTGGCCACGCGGATAACACTTATGTCCGAAAAAGACTTGAGAATATCTTCCAGAGTGGTGGTTGTGAAAGATAAGACCTTCTGAGACGAGTTTGCTGACACGCTGTGCTGCACCGCCTGAAGACAAGACAATAGTAAATAAAGAGGAAGAAACTCTTTAAAAAAATCGTAAAAAAAGGATTAAATATCATATATATACACTATAAAATATATATGTATATAGATTAGAAATAATAAAATAGGTCACTTATAAATGAACTCTTAATGCAGCACCAGTAGCTTTTAAGTAGCATTTAAATCTGGTTTACTGACCAGTAAAGCATTTACTGGTTTGGAACTTTGCAACAAGATTTTCTTATCCCTATCTCATTTTCCCTTAATATACCAACTAGATCTGCATCAGCTATCAAAATACAACTAAATCTAATTTTAGCAGAATAGATAATTGACCAACCTTGTTGCTGAAATGCAAATTTCTGGAAAAAGGGAATTAATTTTCAGTGATTTAGCGCAAGCTGTCCCTCTTTTATGTAATATAACATCTTCCCTAGGTTTAAATTAACTAAATATTACAGGCTGTCTCTGAAAAAAAAAAAGCCTTGAATCAGGAGGCTCTGCAAACAGTATCCTGACCTATTCCCTCTCTCTCTCTTACTATCTCAGGACAGACAGATGGCTTCGGCATTGAACTGCTGTTACTGCTCAGTGGGGAGCAATGATGGCTGACACACATTAAGAAACACGCTCTAGATCACACACACACACACACACTCGCACCCACATGTAAACTTCCACATGTGTCTCACACATACCGACATACGTGCATATTCTTGCAGACACGCCTAAATGTGAATAATACAAATAAAAAATGCAATTTTTGGCATATTTTTTCACATTGAAGCTTAAAAAAATAAAACTATGTGTTTAACAATATGATCACATTTTGTTAAAAATCTGTGATTTCTGGACCCAAAGATAAATGACACACACACACACACACACACGCACATTCATACACACAAGGTCACACCATGTGGAACAGAGGTTGGGGCCCCCAAAACAAAGACCAGATGATGTCACACATGAGCCACCAATGGGGCCACAGCTGGGAAAGCGATTGTGTGTGAAGTTGTGAGTGTGTGTTCATGTGTGATTGTGTGTAAGTTTAAGGGGGAGAGCGAGCGAGAGAGAGGAAGAAAAAGAGAGATATCCAGCACTCACTTAATGTATTCCAGACATGCTCACCCTGTTGCTCTATTGCCCCTCTCTACTCATGAGTGAGAGGAAAACTTTAGTCCTTTACCACACACCAACAGTGGTTTTAGTATCTATCAGGGGCCCCGGCTTTGGATGGGGCCTTCCCATGTTCACCTGTATCCGGTCTGTGATTTACAACGTGGCTATAGAGGACTTAGGGTAGATTTTGCTACTCTTTTCTCTTTCGTTCTCTCTTTTTCTGAATTTTTCTCGCTCTCATTTCTAAATTTTCTGGCCCTTACCTCAGAGTACCGCCTCTGCCAGGCTTCAAGTATAGCTGCAGCCTTTTCTTCATTCCAGTTGATGTGGGAAACCTCATCGTAGCCCCGAAAGTGCTCAAACATCTGCTTGGGAGTCATCAGCTGGAACATGGTCTGCAAGGCCTGGGCACTGGAAGGGAGTTAAGGGGGAAGGTGGCAGAGAGAGAATGAGGGAGGGAAATGGGAAGGAAAACATGGAAAGGATGAGAGAACAAAAGGAAGGAGGTCAAGACTTCAGTGAGAACATCCCATCTAGAAAGGAAGCGTGGGGTGATGAGCAGGCTCTCTGGATTGTGCGATATAATAACAAAATCAAAACTTGGACTTGCAAAGTTTTAGGCTCTTTGATTCACAGCGACGTCTAACACTCCATGAATATAAAGTAAAAATAAATTAGGTGTTCATCAAAATAATGGTCCCTCAAAAGCATCAAACCAACAGGGAGATGAGAGAATAAAATGAAATCATCCCAGGAACTCAATTTTTCAGTTTAATCTCTAATCCCAGAACAAAGAATGTGTTAATTTAAGCAGTAAAAGGGAAAGAAAAATGAAACAAAACCAAAGTCACATTGCCTGGAGCACATTGGATATCAGTCATCATAAACAATGATGCGCTAAGCACATGTGCTGCCTGAGCAAATACTGTGACATCTGATGTGACTATTGAGCCCAGATGCCCTCAGCCGTGAGACATGCGTCATTTCTTAAACCACACAAACTCCCTGTCATTACATGAGCAACTCTGAAGAACGCAAAGTGACATATATGGCATAAAATGCCCCAAAACTCAGTGACCCAAACACAACACCACAAAGCTAAACTGAATTAAAAACCTGAAAGAGACGGCAAGTCATTTTACCTCAAATGTGCACTGTCACAGAAACTACTAATATCAATATCTCAAAATCATATACAAACCCAGTGAGAGAAAGCTTAATAAGGATAATTTAATTGTGTATTTACATATTTCCTCACATGCATCCTCTCCCTCCCACATGCAAGCTCTCCTTCAGCCCTTCTACGGGTTGCTGATCTTAAGGACCACGCCATTGAGTGTAATGAAAAATGCACACCGCTAATGGGGTGATAAATTATGAAGGTAATAAAGTAATATGGCTGATTAGGTAATAATAAATGACTCAGGACCAGAGTGCAGCTTTTTAACAGTAGTCTACTGAGTGGATTTATTTTTAAATCATAAAATTATATAAACCAAAGCAGAAGACATTTACCCGTCTCTATGAATGTGTGCTGTGTAATATGGTGATAATCACAGTAATGGTGGCAGTTAGTAAACAAGGTGAAGAAGCTGAGTGCCAGCAGTAACAGCCCAACAGAGAGAGCAGCCATACTACACATATTCACTCACACACACGCAGACACACACAAGCAGGCAGGCATGCACAGACACTCTAATGACCCAACCTTGCCAGGAAAAAACACAACCACAAAACACAAACAACGCACCCCACTGTACTCCGTGACCAGTATGTGTGTTAATGTGTGTGCGTGTGAGTTTGCCTTCGAACATGCATGCACCAAAAGTGCATTTTAGCCTTAAAGTAGGAGGTCCACAAGCAAAAGATGTTACTGCTGCTGTAGCTGCTGTTGAAGAAACTAAATACATTTTTCATTTCTATGCAAATTTCATGCTTTCTACTTACATAAACATCACACAAAAAGTGCCAGACTTTAATTTGTTCCCTTATCATGCGTTGAGCTTGTATGTTGTTGGACGGCATACAACCTAATCTTTAGGCTTTTACCTGATTCTTGTGCTGGAATTAAGTCCACATATCGCTGTATATTTGGACAAACTAGCCAGGCAATACATCACTCTGTGCATACACATGTGTGTGTGAGTGGGTAGTGTCCAAGCAGAGAAGCCAGAGCTGAGCAGGAACAGCTGGAGCTCTAAGATTTCACTGGAATTTGCTAATGACTGCAAGATTTATAGCACACAGCACACACGCAAATGTGCACGTGCTGCACAAGAGAACAAAAAACACACAGTCTGTCCAGAATACGCGCTGTCATGATTACTACAGTGTTTACGAAGAAGCAAATTCGGTTATGTTACCTGAGCAAGGGTCCGCTGCCATTCTTGGTGGTCCCTCCAACAATCAGTTCCTCCTGCCAGTGCATGTACTTCCTGGCCAGACCATGGCAGCCTCCACTCAGAGCCCGTGCCACATCGAATGGCTGGAGCAATAAAAGCAATAACTGTCAACAACTAATCTCAAACTAAACACTTTACGTTTGACCGAAACATCTTAATACCCCACACTTATTGAGATATTCCGAGCCAAAAGCTTGAGGCTTGATGCATGCCCACCTTAGTCGAGTTCTTATTGGGCGCGGTGCGGGGGCAGTCAGGATCGGCTGGGTTCAGGCAGGGTCTATCCATGTAGCCGTGCCCAATGTCCGCTTTTTCTAACATCTCCTCAAAGATTTCCACGTGGTTTTGCTGTGGCAACTCCTCAAGGAATTCCTTAGGGTCAAAATTGGTCCACTGCACAAGTCCTTTGCCTCTGCAAAGGTTAAAGGCAAATGTTAGTGTGCTTTTATGAGGCTAGCTTTCTGTTCCTAAGAATAGCTGTATTTGGATCCCCAAAAAGTAAAATTTTATAGTCAAATGACAATAAAAAATATTACCTAAGCCATCCACTATATCCATTAGAGTTGACAGGTCAACACTAGATTAAATTTTCTGGCCTATCTGGATGATTACAAAAGATTACCTTACACCTCTTTGAATGAAAGGTTTTGTTTTATGTTCTTAAGCATTATCTTTCCATCACGTTTTATTTCTCATTCCAGGGAATAAAACCACAAAAAGATAAAAAAGTTCAAGATTACATTTTAGCCGACGAAAAAGGCACAATTCCGATAACGGTAACTAATCTCTTTCTTGCTAGGTAATAAGTGGCGATAATTTCCCATCACGCAAAAGCTGAGTTCCTGCTCCAACCCAGACCTCGTCCCTCTATGCTCCCTTTTCCTCACACATTCCGATCTCTCTTTTTCCCTCTGCCATTCAGACGACATTGTATGTGCTTAACCAGGCTTGGGTTATTATTCCCAGCCTCCCAACCAGAACATAGTAAAAACCTTATTTACCATCTAGGTCTAGACACTCACACTCACACAGATAGACACACATCCACGCACTCTGATGATGGTGACTCAAGCTGATACACCTTTACACACAGACAGAAACGCATGTATGCACTGATGAAGACGACGACGCACAATATGGGCATGCGTAAACACATGCAGAGGTAAAGGTCTGCTGAGTATTACTGTAGCAGCAGGCCATTAGCAACAGAACGGCCAGACAATGGTGTGAGGCCCAGGGCTCGAGAGAAACCATCGCCAGCGATACGCATGCCAGCAACCACTACAATAGAGCCTTCAGAGGGGACGAGTTCAGGACACACACACACACACACATACACACACTTGTTTCTCTGTGGTGTTTCTTTAGATGGGTTGAGTGTGTTAGAGCTGCCACTTATAAAAGGGGCTAAAGCAAGATCCAAAGATTCACATCTCTTGTCATCTCTTTCTCATTATCACATTGCCACTGCTACTGTATACACTACCGTTATGAGCTGAGCTCAGCACTTTAGGTCTTATTGTCCCAACATCATCTGAATCAGTTTGCCAACTGGCCTCACAGTAAGTAAAGCTATTATGTAAGCCCAATTAGGATTTGATCATTTGGCCATAAGCTTGGAAGAGTTTGGTCAATCCAATGATATGTAGTAATGATCACATCACAAATGCAGATTCTGTCTAGTCAAAAAGAGCTTTTAAGTACTTACGGGAGATAGCCTGTTCCAGGCTGGAGCTTAGCCCCCTCCCAGAAGCAGTCCAAAGGTGTGATGATGAGGCAGGGATGTAGCCTTTCTATGATCTAAATGGTTGAGCAAATAATAGAATTGACAAACACTGCCGAAGTAGCAACAATACAGAGATAAAAAGTCAAAAACAGAAAAACTATACACACTGTGCTGGTTGTGTCTCACCTGATTCAGGTGATGTGTTTCTGTGACTACTTCCCCTGATTTGTAGCATAAGTCTTCTAATTTCCATTGTCTGAAAAGGAGAAAAAAAGAGAGTGAAAAAGTCACTTGAATGAGTGACGAAACTTTTCTCCCAATGAGAATGCTTCGTCCACAACAAAAGTTTAACTTTTTCATCACCACATAAACACCACGAGTGCACCCAGGATCAACTGAACAAGGAATAATACAAATATATCCTTCATCATTACGAATTTCTTTGTGTTTGTACACACAGAACAATTGCTATATCTCATCATGTACAGCAATGAATTCACTCAGAGATTACCACCTGAGGTGCATCGATTTGTTTTTTTTTTCCTGCTGATTCTAGTGTTGGCTGATATGATTTTGTTTAAATAAGCACAAGAGTTGATAGCATACAGAAAAAAGTTTGCACATGTGCACCACGTTACAGCACCTTTCAGCACTCCTACTCAGACATATTTCAAAATAAATTGTTCCAGCTTGTAGGATAGAGCTTTTTTCATAAAGTGAAAGCGTATTGCAGTATATCCCACTTCATCTTGCATGTTTTAGATTTTTTGTGCCGTTCTGCAATCACACCTCCAAATGCTAGTTTGCAGGAGGGTTACTTCACTGTTGGGATCAGCTTATTTGTTTACTTCCAACAATGTTGAAGGAGCTGAGCACATTGTGTCAGCGTTGTAGCTGAGAAATGTTGACTGACACACAAGTAAGAGAATTTATACCTGGACTGGCAGAGCTATAACAGGGCTACACTCAAAGATTACTGGCCACTGTGTTAGAATAAAGAGGAAGCCAGATACAGTTATTGGACTAAAAACATTAAACTTGAATTAACTTGTCCAGAATTGGAAAACACGATCCTTAAATACAAAATGACAAGAGGCACATTACCTGCTATAAAGGTAAACATGAACTCTGCTGGCTCGGATAGCTGACTCCAGGTGCTGCAGGAGCGCCTCCACAGTTAGAACATTGGCTCCCTCCTCCCGCGGCGTCTGGATCATCAGCTGAGGGTTAAACATGGCCTCCTCGCCTATCTTCTGTCTTGTATACTTGAGTTCCTGGTTCACACGCCCGCCAACTTGACAAAGAAGAGTGAAGTTACATATTTAAGGCTTTTGTGAAAACATCCAGACCATTATTGCATTTGACTCACAAAATCTTATTTAGTAAAGTTAAAGGTTAGAATTGTGCTGGCTTTGAATATGTGCTTAAAAAGTCTGTGTTTTTCTGACACAAAGGCACAAATATCTGCAAAATATAGACACAGTAAAGGTTAAAACATTGACTTTCCTTCTGGTTCTTCAAGTAAAACAGGAGTAAATGGACTGGTTCTTATATAGCGCTTTTCTACTCTGTCCGAGCACTCAAAGCGCTTTATATAGCTAATTCATTCACCCAATCACACAAGCACTTCTAAGCTTAAGTGCTAAGTATCTAACATTCATACACATTCACACTCTGATGGATGCATCGGAGAGCAACATGGGGTTAGTATCTTACCAAAGGATATTTGGCATGCATCGAACCACCGACCTTCTGGTTAGTGGCTGATCCGCTCTGCCACCTGAGCTACAGCCACCCCATTGAGTACAGCTGTCTAGAAAACATCACACTACTACCAGATCCATTCCAGATCATGCATACTTTTTTATTTTAATGCATTATTTTGCTCTGAACTACAAGATAATAATAATGCACACACACAAAAAGCATGGTGTGCTATAAAGTCTGCGACTCACACAAGAGATCCCCTGCTCGTTCTGCAAAGCAGACCCAAAGACATCACAGCCTGTCTGTGACATTATCTGACTTGTATCTTAAATAAAAGCACTCTCCTCACAGTGAGCTTGTAACACTACAATGGCAAACATCCCAAGTCGTTTGAATCCACAAAGGCAGCATCACCTCAACAAATCCACATTCCACAAACAGCTCAGTGTTTCTCCTCAAATTTGCTAACTTGTCAGCAGCGCCAAAACACGTTGTCTGCATGTGTGTGTGACACTAGTGCGTGTGTGTTTGATACAGAGAGGCTGTCTTCCAGGCTTTGCTCCCAGTATCGTGGTGAGACTAAGCCCTGTGCGTGCGCTCTGAGCCCTGAGCTAGCCCGAGCTACAAAAGCAGCCTTTCAGACCCTTTAGCTGTCCAGCTCCACCCAAGTACATCCAAGGAAAGTCTGGCAAAGTATCCCTCACAAACACACACGCACACACATAAACACACACATGCATGCAAACGAATGCGGGCATGCAAGGATGGGCAAAGACGGGCAAAATTATAAGGCAAATTAAATTTTAAAAAAGTACCAGAATTGTTTACGTTTTGTGTTCAGGTTTAAGATTCATGTGTCTTCATATGCATCCCCCAGTTTGGTGTGTCTGTTTCTAATTTACGAGCTGATGATTTGAGCCGTTCAGTCATCAGTGTCTAAACGCTCAGCGAAAGCTCGAGCAATTTATACTCATATTATTTCACTTGGTCACCCAGCCACACACATACACAAAACAGGGAAACTGTCCAGTGAGAGAGCCGACTGTGTGAAAAATCTGTAACATTTTATTATGCCTTAATCCAATTTAACAATTCTGCTCAATCCGTGTAACAGTGGGCATGGGTTGAATATTTTTTTGTCTACTGTAATGGCATTAAAGTTGAACATAAGCATGCCTGTTCTGCTGGGCTGGACCACCCAGTCAGACCAAGGGAAAAGGGAGAGAAGGGCCATGTCTTGGGGCATTAGGAAAACACATTTGATTTCTTTTTTTCTGGACTCAAACAGCATTCCTATCTGAACCTGTCTGAATGCATGTTTATAATGCTCATCATTAATAGCAGGCCTAGGCTAACTGGAGCGACATGCTTTCCACTGCTAGGCCAGCTACAGAGGTCCGTTACACCAGCCCTCCCTTCAAAGGAAAGCGCATGGAACTGATTAAGATCTGACGCACACTGACAGCGCACTAACAAGTCGGCTTGTCTGATACACTCAACGCTCAAAGGCAATGCTAGCCTGAGGCTTGGTTTAAGTGCACTGCCAGGAGGGGACAACGGAAACACGGGTATATGGAAAAAGGTGCATCCATCAGTCAATACCCTTCTACACGTGTGGAGATGGCACGGGGGGATGGGAGGATCAAGTTTAGAAAGAACCCACTGTCTGTTTTGAACTCTTTCCAAGTCGTGGACTGCCACCCAAAGATCCTGAGTTTACAGCAAGCAGTGAGGAATGGGACAAGTCAAAGGAATGTACTCTCCCGCTACAGGAAACAGCACATTACAGCCTCAGGCTTCGGGAATTCCACACTTCACGAGGTTACAAAGTTTTGGGGTCAACACTCACACAGCCTTGGGGTGAAATTAACACCCCAGCTGGACCAAGAAAACATGTATGTGTGTGCGCAAACACTCAGCATACGTGCAAGCATGTGCACACGAGTGTGCGTGAACACACAGCTGTGTTTCTTCAATGACACATATTCCCATATTCCTTCTCCTAAGAAAACTGGTTGACCCCAGCATGTGTTGATATCTTGAAGGTGTCCCGCTCCAGGCTCAGCTGCTGAGACCAAAACAAAGTGGAAATAATTTTCAATCCCTCCCCTTACCGACCTCGGTCTCTTACGAAAACAAAAATCATTTGTAATGTTTTAGAGTGACATGAAAAGTACACATCCAAAATAGATAATTAAGAGAGTCTGGTGAAGTCAAATTGTACTATCCATCAACTGGTTTTGAGCCAAAATGCTTTCATTCCAATAAATCACAAAACTTGTATGTGTTCTGACAGAACTGGAATCAGCAAGCTGCTTTCTGGTTTTCAAAAGTCCAGTTTCTTCACCTGTGTTCATGAACTTAGGCTCCAGAAACTTGTGACAGAAATATTTTATTATTTTCTTACTTGTAATAGATCAAACTGCTAATAAAAGTAATCAGCAGCATATGACTAGTTGGTTATTTAGCTAATCATGTCTGTATTTATTTTTACTGAGTTAGTGCGCACTGTTGACTACATGGGTTTGTAGTGTACGAGTTATTAGTTATTAATGATTGACAAACCAAAAACCTTAGAAGAAGAGAAGAGAAGAGAAGAGAAGAGAAGAGAAGAGAAGAGAAGAGAAGAGAAGAGGCCTATGCTTGTCACTGTAGTGGAGCCCTCGGTGTGGGTATTCAGCATGTTGCATAACATTAACCCCTGGTCCCCCTATTCTCAAAGTAGAGGAATGGTGGGGGGTGGCGGGCACCAAAGGAGAGAAAGTAGGTTTCTAAGGAACTGACATCACCCCCTTCCTCCTTTCAGATCTGAACGCCCCCTCCTCATTCTCATTTTCTCTCTCTCTTTGCTCTATTCAGCTCTACACTGTGATTGGCCAGATCATGATGGCAATCAGCCCGGCCCCTCTGTCAAAGCCAAACCACCCCCCATATCCTTTCGCCAGCTTTCTCTCCTTTCCATGCAACACACAACAGCTTGCCCCCACCCCAGCACATCTCTTATGTCTGACAACGGAAGCAGCCCATAACCTTCGAGGAGAACACGCACCACCGGCGGCAACCACTCCTGTAACTGTGAGTGATTCTGGTATAATTCCAATCCCAATTATGTTCAGTGTACACCTGAACATATTTACAAATCTATGAATAAATAGTCTGAAACACCTGACCTGCTCCACTACTTAAAGATTTGTGACATAATGTATTATATGTATTTGCATGCGGCTGAACACATCTCTGTGTGTAAGTGTGTGTGTGGGTGTGTGTGTCTGTTTGCAGAGAACGGATTAGCTGGATTAGCCCTCCATCCCAGCAGGCACCCCCTATGGTGAAGAGGAAGCCCCCCAAAACCAGGTCATCTCACTGCTACCAAGTCTACAGCGACCTCCCAAAATCTGAACCTCCAGTATTATCAAAGGGATAAAGAGACGACCACCCCATGAAACTACAACGCCATGTACTTTAAAAGCTGCTTTAAAAGTTGTGTGAAGAAAATCAAATTTAAGTTGATTTACACTGAAAAGATCTTTTAAACTTGGGAAGTGACACCTGTTGCATGAGACAGAAAAATTATGCTTTCATACAAGACCTTGATATTTTGGGTTTCTCTGGAGTTTAGCAATACTGGTACTTAATGAATATTTGCAAAGGTATGAAAGGTTCTTACTGTGGTTTTTCAAGTTGTGCTTTCAAGTTTTCCATAGGCTGGTATTAAAAGATCGATATTATTAACCTTTTTCTTTCTAATGAATCAACCCATAATCTCCTATAAAGACATTTTTGTATTTTCTGTTCAATTATTAAATAACTATAACATAAATATCCCATTTACCTACATACTGAGAACCTTATCCTAACTTTTGTCCTAACTGAATTAATTCAACGCACTGAGCACAGGCACACACCTATTCATAGCAGGTCTCACAGTGGATGATATAAGCCAGAGTGAAAACCAAGAAGTGAAGTCAACAGGATTGCGAACTTGAAACATTATTGTATTAATACTTGGATCTGAGGAAGAGGAACACTTCTGCAGAATTCTTAAATGGTGGTTTTCATCCTACCAAGAGTCTTTCTTGGTCTGACCACTTTGTCAGGGGTGAAGACTTCTTTGTGGAGATGCTCAGTCAGTGATAAGAAAATGTTCAGTCCATAACAACATCCAGAACTTCTGACACTAAAGTAATGTAGGCAGTAGAGCAGTTTGCCAAATCCTCCTGTAGGTTTAGGAGTCAGACGATGGTTTTCATTTTCCGTTTTAGCAATCCCATTTGCAGTACTCTTGTCAAAGTTTGTTACTTGATCTCCACCGGTTCTGTATACTGCCATTTCTTATTACATTACAAACTGCAAAAAAAACAGTGACCTACAAAATCTTTGCAGTTTTCTAGCAACACTCCTTTAAACTTTCAGGCAGGTGCTTAGAGGCAGCCTTGGGCTATAGGAGTCCTAAATCCTGAGGCAAAGTTCGAGGAGTATAGAGAAAAATTATATAACTCTTCCTTTCTTTTTGTCTTCCAACATAAAATTGCACAAGAGACAATAAAAACATTTGTCTTTTTTTTTTAAATGATAAGAATATTTCAT